GCAGATAAATAAATACAAAACTCAGGCAGGATTTTCTTAATTGCTAGTGGTATCATTTCGATTTTTATTTTCTGTTTGGAAGAAACCAAATTTTTGGCCAGACTGAAAGGCTTATGGCACAACTTTTTATTGTGAAAAAAAATTGAATTTTATGTTGGAATTATTATCATTTACTTAGGGATTCTACTTCTTTCACTTGGTAAGGTTTTGATTTAATGAATCGACTCTACTCTACTCTCCTCTCCTTTCCTCTCCTGTAAAGTTCAGGTAAATAAATAAGGGTCAAAGGTGAAGAATTGACTTTTTCTTAGTGCTTGCTCATTACTGTATCCGTATCGAAGATATGCAACAAAGTGTTCGGGATACTATTATTCCAACGGTTAGACCTTTTTTGGATATAGTATCTCTATTTCAATTTTTTGTGGTACGGAAATGAAAAGACTAGAAAGATTGGACAAGAGATGAAAATCCACTTCAGTCTCAAACCCTTGACCCAATCCCTCTACTACCAACACTAACCTCATTGGGGGTGCAAGGGTACAGCCCACAGAATGATTTAGGATTTTCTATTAAGCCAGTGGTACAATGCCCTTGACAAGTATAAACTACATATTCAAAATATGGGCCTCACATATTGTCGATATTTGGCTCAATATAGTCTCAAGCCAACTCATGATAATTAGCTTAATATCATTGGTCGTTGACATCAACTACATTTCCAATATGATGACAATATGTCATAGAGAAAAAAGGACCCTATTCCTATCATCATGACACATCGTAGTGATATATTCATACATGCATACTGCTAAAGGTGAAATTGTATAAAACTTTCGAACTGCTTTAGAGAAAGAAGAATGAAGCAGAGAACTTTATTATTGTTTTATATATGGAAGAGAGCAACTTTATTGAACGAAAAGTATTTTTAAGAAGAGAAGAACTAAAAAACTTGTAATCAATGTGAAGAGGACGAAATCATTTTTAATGGAAAAACCAATCAAAATCAAAACAGTACTTACACGCCTATAAACAAAAGAACCAACCGAACGGAGCCATAACAGAACTTATATATCATAGATAAAATATACAGAAAAAGGGATCATCCTAAAAAAGGGTGCGACGGATAATCATAAAAGTCCTGAGAAAAAGATGTCCATAGAGATGCGTTTTATCTTGCTAAAGACCAACCTACCCAGAATCTCTCGACACTTTAAAATCTATTCTATTCCTCTCAAGCCAAATGCTTGATAAAACTACAAAAGCAAAGAACTTGCACCCCAAGAACTCTTTATTCGTGCCAAAACAAAGAGAGAAACAAGACTTTGTCATTAAACAACAATATTTGTTATGAGCCAAATAGATGCCAAATGACTCCAAAGACAACTCTGAAATTGAAGGCGTAAACTAACATCTACAAAAAAAAAAAGCATGATCCAAATCTTTAAACGTACTCTTACAAAAAAAACTTTAACCAACACAAAAATTCTATAGCCTCTACAACAGAAAAACCAATGAGTGCCTCAAAGGGAGGGGGCATACAAGACACGACAGATGTTAAAAAGACCAACAAGTCAATCCACGGAAAAATTGGTGTCCTAAACCAAATGTTCAGTCCTTGGACCAGCCCCCACAAACTGAGAGCTGCTTAGAAGGGTGAGACCTGTTAGATAACCCTACGCTACAAAAAAATCTGTTCCAAAGAGAAACATAATTCAGGCAACATAAGTCATAAAAATGTGGAATTCAGTTTACCACAAAAGGAAACAACCAAGAGATTCCCGCTCCACTTTGTCGAGCAGCAATAGTAGTTGGTCCACCAAGAGAAGGAATCCAAAAGAAACCTTCTGTGAATAATCCCTTTAAGAATTAGCCATATTAGAAATAACAAATTAGCTGTGTGCCAAGTGACCGAAATAATCATCAATAACCATACAAAGCAAAGTTCAATTACCTCATTTGCCACATTCGAAAGGGCTTGATATAGTCCAATCCAGACTGGTATGGTGGCCAAAGTTGGGAAACAGCCTACAGAAACAGGGTACTAATGAGGTCAAAGTATGCATAGATATCAAGAAAGATCATAACAATGAAAATAATGGTTAAGTACAACAGCATGTGAAAAAAACAGAACAGACTCATGAGTACTTTGTACCTGCTAGAGGATTAACTCCAGCTTGTCTATAAAGCCGTGATGTCTCAAGTTGTATTCTTTCCTTAAGAATAGAGAAAATAATACGATAGAAGGAAGCAATTACTTTATAATTGAAACAAGAGAGGAAAACCCTCAATCCAAGCTCAGAACTCAGAAGTTCGTTAGCTTCCATAAAGAACAGAAATGCCTCACCTGATTGCCAGCGTATCTTTGTTGGATGGCTTTAATCTTTGGTTGAAGATTTTGCATAGCCAATGTTGACTCAACCTTAAATCCCAAAAGCATTCATTACCCGTTATGAGAAATTTGTAAGTACATAAGGGATTCCCTTGTCAACTGTCATGGCAAAACCGACTAACCTGTTGCTTGGTGAGAGGAAAAGTTGCAACCTTAACGATAATAGTAAGTAAAATAATTGCAAACCCATATGCATATGGCACATGCACAGCCGAAAGTCCATCCTTCAACACCTGACACAGTTTAATTTGACATAGTTTCATCGTCCAGACACAGAGCAACATCGAAAAATAGATAACCATTTTGGAAAAAGCCATAAAAAGGTAACAGCAGATTCATTGTTCCTCTATGCATATTGCTTGATATCATCCATACCCCAAGAAGGGCTCATATGAATTGAATTATCAATTCAACACTGAATACATATGAAATACATCTCAGATTTTCTTTTCCACAATAGAGTAATTAACAAGAGCTCATATGAATTGAATTTATCAATAAAAACAAGGCGAGTTTTATATATGCGTAAGCTTACTTTAAGAACGACTTCCATGGCATCGGAGATAAATCCAAACCATCCACCGTTCTTCTGCACCGCGGTATCAGCGGAACTCGATGCGGCGCCACCAGAAACAGTCGAATCCACAGCAACCGCTGCATCAGCAAGTGTGTAGAGCAGGCCTTCGGTCCTGCTAACAATTGCCTCGAAATTGAAGGTGGAATCAAAGGTATGGATGGGGGGAAGTTCATGGAAGCTGAAATTGACTCTTGTGGCGACGTGTCTCCGGTGAGGAAGAGTGTGGAGACGGCCATGGCGAGAGAGAGAAGGAAGAGAAGAACCAACGAAGGGGGAGGATGAAATTAGGGTTTTCGCCATGGAAGAGTCAGATTCAGCAAGGAATCCAGAGAGAAATTCAGCTTCGCATGAGAGAGAGAGAGAGAGAGAGGAAATGGTTGATGACGAAAGGGGCTGGCAGTCCAGTGGAGGAGGAAGAAGGTGCGGAAATCAAATCGAATTATCCACTTTGCTATCGGAATGGCGAAGAGGAAGTGCCACGCTGTACTCTTCCACACGTGCGGAGAAAAAACTTAAATTCTTTTTAAAAAATCAAAATTATATTTTATTTAAATTACGTTATATTATAATACAAAACGACTCTATTATATTAAACTTAATTAGATTAAAAAAAACTAATTATTATATTAGTTTTAAATAATTTGAAAAACTAATTGCATCGATAAAAACCTATAGAACTAATTTCAATTAATTATAAAATAATTGTAATAATGCTTACATTATTTTAGATACAATGAATTCATGCATCTTGATTTGGGCACGCAAGTGAGACTATTTGTATGCATTTGAACGTGAAATTACATACGAAGTGTGACAATTAACAATTTCACATTACGAGAATGGTAGTAAACTCGCTAAATTATTAATCAAGTTTTTTTTTATTTCATTTCTAAAATGTACCTACCATATATGAATGAGTCTGTATGGTGGATGTTTTCATTTATTTTTATTTTAAAATTAAAGCAAATGTGGTAAATAAAATGGATATTCCTGGATTAACCCTAAAAGAAATAACAAAATTCAAGAGAAAAAAAAAACTCTAAAATCAGAAAAAATTGAAATGATTAACCCCACAAATAAAAATCCTCCCTTTTTTCAAACACGTTTTTCTTACAGAAAAAATTCAAAGTAAGTTCGACAGCCGCCAGAAGACTCGTCGGCAGACATTCCAGAAGATGCCGTTGCCGCCTCCGCGTGCGGCGGAGGCGGCGACGGCGACGGCGGCGGTCCAGCTTGTAAATCTCCAGTTGGGTGAGTGGGAAAAAGAGAGAGAGTTTGGGTGGTGGGGTTGTCATTTTGACATGAATGGTACCCAAAGCCGCCATTATGTGATCTCCTCATCTTGGAATTGCTTTGTTGCTGTGGATAAACCCCGACGTTGTTCTGATGTACGTAGTATGGGCTGCAAACCACTGTTCATAAAAAAAATTGAAAATTTAGCCAAAAAAAAAAAAAAAAAAAAAAACCTTTAAAAATACATATACAGTTAATTTTTTTTTACCATTCTTACGGTGTTTAAAAAATAGTAATGAAATTTTATTACTATGAATATATGGACAGAAACCATCTAACACCTCTTATATCATATTTAAATTTTTATTTTTTATTTTTTATTTTTAAAGTCGAAGAGTATTAATGTTTTGAAAGTTTATGAGTATTTTTTAGGTATGGTATTAACGATATATTTGTAAAATAACCGTATTTTTAACTTTAAAAAAAAATTAATTTAATTTATTATTATTTTTTTTTACTTTTAAAAAAGTTTAAGAGTATATGAAAGATATTTTAAAATTAAAGTATTAATTATTTTTCTTTTAAATTTTTTTAGAAAACTTAAAAAGAATATTTTTTTTAAAAGGTATTTTTTTAATAGATAAAATAAAAAATAATTTTATTAAGTCAAGTCTGCCCTTTTTCGAAACTTTGGGCCCCCGATTTGAGTTGCTTGCAACAAAAGCCAGCCCACCAGTTCGCTTTACAGCAATAGTTGTGTAAATGAAGGGTATTTATGTAAAATGTCAGTGAGCTTCTGCTTCTCTATATAAAGGCGAAGAACGGAGGAACACAGAGAGGTTTGCGCGCGAAAGTTTGGCGTTCCTAAAGTTGCTCTGACGAGGAGAAGGTTGATATTAGGGTTCGGAATTATCGGTGCCTCACTATGTTGTTTGCAAACTCAGGTATGTTTCAATGTTAGATTGATCTCATTAATGGTATTTACTTTTGGATTTTGATCGGTTAATCTTTTTTCTAAACTGATGAACGTGATTGCTCTGTCGCACAAATCGTAATTGCTTTAAGATTTCTGTTAGTCGAAATGGAAAAAAAAAAAAAAAATCATTAAACTAGTGATCTTGATCGCTCAGTCTCATAAATCCTAATTACTAGTTTAATTAGTCAACGAGGAGCAAGTCGTTTACTATAAACTAATGATCGCGATTATTCAGTCTCAAAATCCTAACTATCAACAACAAAGAAGATATATACATCATGTTCATCAATCTTATCACATTAGGCCTTTTATAGTCAATCATTTTGATTCTTCTATTTATATTTTTTCCTATTTTACACACGATCCGACGATAAACTGAATCTCTATCGCTTATTTTTAATTCAGACTTTGATGAGTTGCTGCATTACATGTTATTTACGAGTTCAAATCTGCTTCCACGGTGAGCTTTGAAGAAGATCCCGTGTCAGCGTTGCTACCTGAACAGTATTTTTAGGTAAGTATTTTGACGATTTTTCCTCCGTTATACTTCTACTTCTATTACCTTCTATTAAGTTCAACTAGCGCATTGATTTTCTTAATTAGCCATCTGGCATACATATGCTTCTCTGAATGTCGTGCTTCCTAAATTCTTCCGTTTTCGTGCATTATAATGAATTGTATACTTTGGAGTAAGTGAATTTCTTGTGAAAGATATATTTCTTACCATTAAATCTTATACATTCAATAATCGAATCGTTTCTGCTTAAGATCATTACAGATTGTTACGTGCATTTAGGGATGCATTGGTGGTAATATTCTCTAAAGTGTCTTATTCAAAATAGTTTCCTAAAAATCTCATAANCATTTGGGGAAGGAAAATGGGGAGCAAAAGGTGGAAGAGGAAGAAAGTGATTAAAATAAGCCAAAGTAGCGGAATGGTCTTGCTTTTGCTTCTGTCTTTGCCTTGCTTTGTGATTTTGAAACCAATAGAACACATTTTTGCCTTCAATATGCCCATAACTCTTCAACCGATTCGTAATCTGTTGTATTTGCTCAGCACTCGGCGTTCTCACGCCTTGTTCATACAAGTTCTCCAAAATGCTTATTTGCTCCTTCGTCGGATTCCACCGTGAGCTCACCGGAGTTCCGCCTATCTCCGCCGTGACTTCCATACTGCCTTATGATCTCAATTGTATTAGGGTTGAAGTTAGAAGAAAAATCGTGTGTAATAGTGGTGTAATTCTGCATGGGTTCTATATATATATATATATATATAGAAAATAAAGGAAGGGTTTTTATTTTTATTTATTGGTTTTTGGTTTAATTGGCCTCTCATTCTGAATGCCCACACAAAAAAGTGAAAAGGGTTTAATTGTAAACCAATGGGGTGTGTAGGTAGAGGGTGATATGGACGAATGGGGAGAGATATAAGGACATGCGTATCGTTTTTGGCGCTCCAAATCTCTGAAAACATGGTGGGTAGAGGGAGGGACACCGTCTAGGGTTTAGAGTGAAAAGACGAAATTACCCTCGAATAGACAAAGAAATTGTAGGCCAATTTCTAATAACACTAAGAGATGTAGGAATTGTAAGATGAAAAGTTCAATGAGAAAAAAAAAAAGAAAAGGGTTTTGTTGGAATGAATTAAAAAAGAAATGGATATAAAATCTGGGGAATGACAGAGGAAGGGAAAGGCCAAGTAGGTTACGCCATTGAAGAGGGAAGGGAAAGGGTTTTGAAGGATAGGGTGTTGGGGGTTGTAAGGTGTAGGTAAGGGCTAGGCTTTGGGAATTGAAGTGTTAAGGCAATAGAGAAGGATACACAGATTCCATATTTATATATAATATTAGAAGAAGTTGAAGGGTTATGTTTAGATTTATAGAGATTGATTGAGTTTTGTAAGAGTGTGATGTCAGTGTAATTTCAGTAACAAACTTATGAGTAATGCGATTAGTTGTGCTATTCAGGTGGCGTCGCCTCGTTAAACTAAAAACACCCACAGCCACAGCCACACAGCCACACCCACACCCACCTGCTGCTCTATTTTCTGAGCCACTCTCCGCACCACCGAATACGATGCAGATTGGTTCAACTTCCTTTCTTCCTTCTCTCTTTCTTCTTCTGCATGCCATCCTCTCTCTCTCTCTCTCTCTCTCTCTCTCTCTCTCTCTCTCTCTTAACCTCTTCTATTTGGCCATACCCTCTCTCTCTCTCTCTCTCTCATGCAAAGCTGGCTTATAATTCAAAATTACTACTTCACTTGGGATATTAGTAACCCTTTTCAAGGCTTTAGCTTTCAATCTTATTAATGGGCTCAAATGGTTGGGAGAAGAGTTTCACGAATACTATCTCGTTGAAATGAGGTATTTTGGAGGAATTAAAGCAAAATCACGAGAGCTTATACTTATAGTGAACAATATCATACAATTACGGAGAGTCGTGATTTCTAATATAATAGGTTTTTGTAAAAGCTATAAAATGCTCTTGTTTGTCGGAGTACAATGTTTAAAGTTATAACAAATCTTTGAATGGTTAAATTATGGACCAACTTTTTTGTGATTTTAAACGATATAGCTATGTTTCAATAGCATTGGACGATTGCTTTTGTTGTATCTTTTTAGCTTTTGTATGATGTTCTTAATAGTTATAGTACTATTATTGTTTGTTAAATTAATGAAAGATGTTCAATAATAAATACTAAGATCCATAAAATTATAGGATCAATCTTGATGGTATAGTTTAGGGACCAAAAAACTATGTTATAGTGATCATATTCAAGGGCTAAACTGAACATTCTTCTTCATATTTCTTATTTTTTTAATTAAAAAAAACCATATTTTTTTATTAAGATATTCTTATTTAAAGAGTTGATAAAGGCATTAGGCCTATATACATTAAAAAAGTTCAAAAACTTGGGGTGTCCCCCTAGTCTTCAAAGGGATCCATTCTTGTACATAATTCACAATGCCCACAAAAAAAAGTAGCCAAATGTTAATAAATATTAGCAATTTCGATGGCTATAATGCATTTTCGTGCTACAAAAGGTGCCATATTTTAAAAGCTCAAATTCGATAGAGTGAAGCAAAATCTAGACAGATACCTATGAAATACAATAAATCCCACGTTACTATCATCTTTCAGAAGAGTAATGGTGCATTTATGTAGTTTCTAGACTAATTCTACAAGTGTTTCGTACCCAAAATTTGAGTCGGTGAGACTCCATAGATCTCGTTTCATATATTTTCTCATCCATGCTTATGACCATTTCATCATCTTTTAGAAGAGTAATCATGTATCTGCGTCGTTACAAGAAAGCACTTAGCCACCATGAAAGTACAACCAAATTCGAATCGCATAATACGACTACGATTATGAGTCATTAGAACTAAAAACGTTACTTATTGCATCTGCATTAAAAATCAATTCCATAAACGACATCTTATTTTGAAAAAGATACTTCACTAGGTTTGTGAAACTTGAAAGTTTAGTTTTTGAGCTATTCCAACTAATTGCTATAACTAAGGAATCAAGCAAGTACTACAAATGAACTTCCCAACTCTATTTTTGTACTAACTTAATGGAAGGATTGCTAATTCTTACATCATGACACAACCTTTTATAATATGCATCTTCGCATCAGATATGTCGTTTACTTATATGTACAAAATCCTATTTATTCTTCACTCGTATCCAAGGAAAAAAGCAACCTGCAAATTTAACAATAAAACAATTACTATTCATCATGCTCAATTTCGTAGCGTCTCGACATTCTACACAGCTATAGACATGCATGTTTAGTACCACAATTACACACTTGCAGTAGCATAATAGCGATTATGCGATACTTGTTCTAATCCAACGAACAAGTCAACCGTGTGAAATTTAGACTTCACAAACAATGATGACGTATATTCGAGTCTCAAATCACATTTGAAAAAAAAAATATTTTAGAAAATGTGAGTAAATAATGCTAATAAATAATGAGCTATGTGAGACTTTGATAATGTTTGGTCTCTTCGATGGTGAAACTGAGTTGGTTTATTAATTTCCATGGTTTGATACAATCTTTTAGAATATTTGCATCTTCCGACCCGTTAACAATTTACTTGCCTAATTAACATATGTTTTCACATGACACATGTTGATGCACAAATTTAGCTAAAAACAAGTCGTTCAAAGTGAACTAAATATGATGATACAATCTTTTAGGATTCCTCTTCTTTTATTTGTTATTTCTTGAACCTTGGCGAGCATTACTATATTTTTGTTGACAGTTCTCTCGTTTAAAATAGATCGGGTAAGCTCATTCAAAGTGAACTAAATATGATGATTCTAAATATGATGATTCGAAGGGTTGACCTCCCAACTTAAACTCTTGACGAAAGCCATCACCTTTTTGTTGATCCTCAATGTCAGTGTGCAAGATTCATGGTAAAACATTCTTGACCTCTATAGATAATACCAACGGTTGACGATTCACCTAAACTTTTACTCCATTTCATCCAAATACAGTGAGGAGAATGTGGAATTGGGTTTCTCCCAGTGAATGCACGCCCACATAGACTTGGGCGTTGACATGTTTTTTAGTCGCTTAAAAGCCCAATAGACTCAAAGTTTATTGATTAAGAGAATTGTAACCAAAGAAGAATTCGATACATGTATATAAACTTTTGACTTCCAATTGAACATAGTTATTGAACAAAACACGTTATGCATTGATTACAACAGAGATTTAATAAGTAAAAGAAGTGGGAAACAATATAGCGTTTGCCGTTTTGCAAAGTCCCATGTGAGCTGCCCTCCATCGCCAACCATGAGCGCCACAAAAGTCCCAATTACAACGCCTTAATCACGCTCACCCTAGCCCCCACACCCGGCCCCCCACTAAACCCCAACCGAATAAAACCACTCAACTCAATATCACTTCTTCGGTTCTCTGGCTCACAAACAAACACTCAACCGCCCAAACCTCCCTTCATTTCAAATTGAATTATAATATTTTTTGTACTTAGTTTCATTAACATATTTAATTTTTTTAATTTAGGGGTTTTTAATCCCACCCAACTGCTTCGTTTTACACAAATCGTCAGGTCGCTATTTCCCATTAATTTCAAAATTTTCAATCCTCTCTGGGTAGTTGGAGTCTTCCTTCTTCTTCTTCTTCTTCTTCCACTCGAGGGGATGCCAAATTTCATCTCCCAATGGCTTCTTTCACTTGGTTGTATATCGGCTTAGGCTTGGCTCTGGGGTTCCTCTTTTTGGGCATAGTTGCAGAGCTTTACTATCTTCTATGGCGGAACAACAAGAGAATCAATACAACAGGGGTTCAACACGACGCCTACAACAAACCCCGCCCACTTCCTCTGATTCCTTCTGAAACTAACTCCACTCGTGAAATTACCAGAAACCCCCTTGAGAATCGCCATGGATTGGACCTTGAGTTCGGCAGCGGAGAGGATTTGTTGTTGAAGACGGCGGCGGAAGACGATGAACACGATGAGGCAGAGGAAGAGGATGTTGAGCTGATGGCGATTTACAATCTCGCAGGGCAACCGAGATTTCTGTTCACAATCAAAGAGGAAACGAGGGAAGATTTGGAATCTGAGGACGCGAAATCGAGAGGCGATAGAAGCAGAAAAGGGTCAAGAAATCGCAGCTTGAGCGACATAATTACCGCCATTGAAACTCCATTTTTCACTCCAATCGCTTCTCCTCCATTGAAAGCTTCTCCTCTCTGTTCTTTAGATTCATACAAACTCCATGAATTCAATCCGCTCTTCGAATCCTCATCTGAATTGGAGCAGAATCTGAACAGGATGAGATCCTCGCCGCCTCCCAAGTTCAAATTTCTCCGAGATGCAGAGGAGAAACTATACAGAAGATTAATGGAAGAAGCTCAAAAAAGAGGCGAGATCCTAAACACCAAAAACGAACAGAGAAAGCCCTCAAGTTCTTCCCAGGTTCTTCCTCTGGTTTCTTCCCCTCCAGAATTCCGAACACTTCCCAACCACAAGATCACGCCCTTCTCTTAACTTCATTGATTCATAATCCGCTTGTTTATCTGTAAATATATAGTTCCAAGTTTTTTTAATTACGATCTTGTTCTTGTTTCTTGAAGCATTGCTACCATCATTCAAGTATGGTGGATTTTAATTACCTGGATTAAACTTCTAGCATATAATTTTGATCATTCATGTCTAGGCTATCTCTTGTTTATTTACGTGCAATTATTTAATTTCATTTATTTACTAACGTGTTCAATTTTTAATGGAATCATTTAAAAATTAAATTTATTGCAAGAGGAAATATCATATTACGTGAGAAAACAAAAATCTTACGTGCATTGCACCTATTAATAGATTAATATTAGTTGTTCTAAAAATTAAAATAAAAAGTGAAAAAGGGTTTTTTTTAATTAAAAAAATGGAAATTAGTTGTGAAAGTTTCAATTCATTACTTACCCAAACAACAAGAAATGCCATTGTGATTATCACGCGATGCGGCCGCCGAAAGTTGGTTGCCCTCCACGCCATTATTTACCTTTTTTTTTTTTTTTCCTCCCTTAATAATCTTTTTGGGGTTAAATTATAGGTATTGTTTTTTTTTTTACCATTTTTTAACTAATTTAGGGAATGATCATGCGTTTATAATTAAGAAATACTCTCTTCATTGGTTTGAGGCCTTTTGGGAAGCCCAAAGCAAAGCCACGAGTGCTTATGCTCAAGGTGGAAAGTTGACAATATCATACCATTGTGGAGAGTCGTGTTCATCTAACAACTACTATTGTACCATGAAATAGCTCAAACACACTGCCGGTAGATATTGTCCGTTAGAGAGAGTCATACTCTTATAAGGAATGTTTCATTCCCCCCTCCAACCGTAGTTGTAAGATCTCTCACATGACATCATGTCAGTTTATTCAGGTACCAATACAATAAATTTTAATTTTATTCTTATAGATGTAATATTTGGATTAAAATTTTAGAAACGTTAATATGTATTTTTTGACCGATTAAAATAAATCTGCAGCTCATAGGGTGTTGTTGTTACTGAAATATGGCGTATTTATTAATTAGATTATATTTCAGGAAATAATAAATGAAGAAAGGGTCCCACTTTAACTTTATTTTCATTTATTTAAACCAACGATATGTCAGAATAAGTAGGTGGTCCTATTTATTGCCCAAGTGTTTTTTCTTTCTTTATATTTCAAGTAAATTTAAAGCTTCATACAAATTAATTTCTAGATATACCTTGCTACAAAAATAAATGTGAATAGAAGTGGAAATACTTTTTAAGGTAAAAATAAAAAATAAAAGAAGGAGAAGAAATATTAATTATTTATATTTTATCAAATTCAACAAAGTTTAATATTTTTTTTTAATGATGTTTTTGTCTTCTTTCACGTCTCATTTATAAGAAATATCTTATTTCATAACATAGTTTCAAACATTAAAAATGGTATAATTAAACTATTAAAAAATAGTAATTATGGAACAATAGTTCACTATTGTCCCCTTGAAGAGTTGAAAAGTATGGTGGGATTAAAAAGAAAAAAAGAAAAATCTCACGGGCCTACAAAGATCAAATTTTGAATTCAAGGCACAAGTTTCCGCGGAATTTGAAATTAGGTAGATCGGCTACACATACCTTTTCAAATCAAACCTAGCCGCCTAGCACTAACATTTTAATTATTTTAATAATAGCACATCAATTTCATCTCAATACCCATTTTAATCGGGCGTATATAGAATAGTTTAATGAATAAAATATCAATCGAAATAATTTAATTTTTATCATAAAAGAAGAAAAGGTTAACATAAAAAATTAATTTTTTATTGTTGCAATTTGAGATTGAAATAGGTAATTCTTCGATTGGATGATTGATGATGTATGTTGTATGCAAATATGATGTAATGTATATAGAAAATGAGTGACTAAGTTGTTTGCTGAATTTGTCAGGAGGTCAATTCCTATAATGATCCCGACTTTCCAATGCCAGTTATTTTAGCATGTTTTGTCTTCACACATGCATTATAGGAAAATTCATACCAAGTTACCTAATATAGAATTGCTTCAAGTAAAACACGTTAATTTTGGAGTTCCTATGATTGAGCCACTAAATCCAAGACCCATCTTGTTGGTGTAGATAATGAATTTTTAATTCTTTTAAGCCTTTATTAGCTAAGCCATGGACCTCCAAAATTAAAAATTTTTAATTCTTTTTATTTCTATTTTTTTTTTTTAGTAAATTATTTTTTTTACTCGGGTGTCGATTTCAATTTTTCTTTATATATATATAATTTTTTTTTGGAATCTCAAATATAAGGTTTTGATTCTTTTTGAAAAAAATTTATAATTCCGAGTAAAAATTTAAATATTGCGACATAAATTTAATGTCTTATTTTATTAAATCAGCTTTAAGTTATTATTATTTCTTTCTTTATTAAAAAATATAAAAAGACAAAACATTACATATGGAGGTTTTTTGTTCTTTTCAAGCAAACAGAAAATTCTCTCACCAAATTTTGATTTTAAAATATTATTAAAAAAACAAATTTTCAAATAATTTATTGACAAATTGATGGATTAATTATGGCCCTTTTACTGAATTCTGATAAAAAAAAAGTTTATTTAATAATATTATATAAATGTTTTATTTTTATTTTCTTTGGTTTTGAAAGGGATGGAAGACGTTGATTTATGTGGTGGTGGTTGAATAAGTTCTTTCCCCACAAGCTATATTCATTGTGGATTTGAAACATAAGGCTTAGCAATTTATATATATTTATTTATTTATCTTTTTTCTTTCCTCCATTAAATGCTTTTTCAAATTTAAATTATCCTCAAACGACGTTAAAAGTATAGCTATGTATGCCATTCTACATATGCAAACACTCTTTGGCCTCTTTTCGAAGTTAGGCCATGTTGTTTGATATGTCTCTATCCATGCTAATACATTTACTCGATCCAAGATTGTTCTCAAACCATTATTTAATATCATAAAGATATATGTGTCCGCAACAGTTTAGGAGGTTCCTAGATTGTTCAAGTCATTCCTTTTCTTAAGTTTGACCTAAATGGAAGTCCAAAGATGATTCATAGATAGATACAAAATATGTTTTCGTTTTATCCGCTAAGACATATATTGGAAGAACAAAAACTCAGGTCGGATACCTTTTGGTAGGCGTGGTGGACGTTTTGATGGGTGTGTGGTGGCACATATGAGTGCGTAGACACCCCACGAGTTAGTATAGTTTCTTGGTAACTTCAATTGTCCAAATCAGCCCAAATGAGAAGTTTTAAAAGTTGTAGGCCGTCCCATATGTTCAAGTATCAAGATTTATGATATTTATGTGTTTGCATGACCCACACTACTACCAGCCCCAATTAATTTCTCATTCGTTCCACAAAAATTGTCGAGTAGGTCGAGGACATCTATTTTGGGCTTTTGAATCACTCAATTCCATCAAGAATTAGAGAAGAACTAATGTACAAATTTTGAAATTCTTGATTTTCGTTTTATATCATATCTACGAGTTTTACTTGAATTTAGATTCTAAATTTTTAGCATGTTATTCCAGTAAGTATTTATCACAAGTTTCATGAAGAGATCTTGAGTTGAGTCAGATCTAGAAGTACAATTCCAGCCGACATAAAACATTTACAGAATCGGACTTCCAACATTTCTTTCCCATATTTGATTATAAATTATGGAAAAAAAAAACCATTAAAACTCTAAAAAAATTTAGAGCAAGGAATCAAATTGATTTAAGTTTTGGATAAGAAATTATAAAAATCAAAAGAAATTAGAAAGAGCCCATGAATTCTAAGTTTTGGATTATGGTGGCAAAAGTGACTGAATAGAGAAAGATAGAGTGTCAACTATGTAAAATTTAAACTTTTCTAAAAATTCAAATGTCACCTTCTTGAAATTAAATATTTCAAAACATAATCACAAATATAAAAATAACACACATTAAATTTTCAAAAGAAAGAACGAGCCAACGAATATAATTCTCATTCTATCTTCATCTCGATTTCGCCAACCAAGAAAAAATTTTCTCGACACACTCTCATTCTCGGTGTAAATGTGAATTATCTTGTTTTATTTAGAGCGGGTAGACATATTTAATGAAAAAAGAGATAAAAGATAATTTGATTAGAATTTTGATTATATACAAGATTTAGTTAGGTTGTTAAAAGTAGAATGAATCTTAGTCGGTGCGTTTCCAGTTTCCATAATACAAAGCTGACAAAGATAACGAGGAATATCACAAAAAACACACTCCCAGCTGCCTGCCAAAACAAGGTCGGTTACTATAATCAACGCCTATTTATAGGATAAACAAAAAGCATTCAAATTCCTTTTCTAAAAAAATATTAAATTACAAGACTCGCCTTAAAATTTAAATACTATTTTAACGTAAAAGATGCTAACTCTATTTGTGTGAGACCATTTTAGATGTCTGTTCTTCCTCGATGACTCTCGAAGAAACTACGAATTTAGTTCACGTTTTTTTACGTCAAACTCTCCCTTTATATTTATTCTTCTACACACTTAGCTTCAAACATAATAAAGGCAGCATTTTTAACTTTTTAAGTATTTTTTTTTTCCCACAAACTTCTTAAGAATAAGATGAACAATAAAGTAAAAAAGTAGCAGAAATTTGGGTAAAAAGGGGGAAAAAAAAAACTTGGTCATTTTGTCAGTTCTTTTGAATTGGAAATAAAGCTGAATATGTGCTGGAATTTGAATGAATATGTTTGAATTGAATATATATATGTATGTATTGTAAAAGGGAAGAAGGGCAAAGTGATTTTCCAAATATTCTGCGAGCTCTCCTCTCCCTTACCAGATTCCTTTTTATCTTTCAGCACCTCATAATTCATACCCACTTAGATGTGAAATGTTACTGTGAAAAGTGGGTCTTCAGAGATTTAACAGGGTCTGTCGGGTCACAACTGGAGCTTACTGCATTTAGAGAGAGAGAGAGTTGGATAAGCTCCCCAAGTCGAACATTAAACGTTCGGTTGGAATCATAGATATAGCAATCATCTTCGATTAGTCGTTTTGGTGTATTTTGATTGTGGGTCGAAACCAATGTTAACGTTTCAAATAAATCACTAAAAACTACAAAAAAAAATAAGTTTTGAATGTGTGAGATCCCAGA